AATTGAATCGCGATTTGTTTAGCATCTCAACCGTTTTGAATCGTCACATATTTGAATCGATTTTCAACCAGCCCGCGGTTAATCGTTACATCCCTAGTTGGTTTGCATTGAGTTCCCAGTTTTAAAGTACATATTTGCTTACATTTATATTCAAGATCTGAGGTAAATCTGTTTTTGTTTTCCGTATGGCTATAAGGTCACGCAAAATATATTCAAAGTCACATTAGACACGCTTAACTTTGAATAAAGCACATAAACATTACCTCCTGAGATTATCTACTGTCATATAGTTTGTATGTTGTTGCTCCAGCCGCGACGTCGCGGAAATAGAAACCGTTTCTAAAATAGACGTTTTGCATGGCTAGTTAGGACAAAAACTCAGATTAACATGAAAAAGATACCTTTTATCGCGTGTCTCGTGCAGTTAGGACTAGAGTTGCAAAGAGGTGAAAAATGTCTGATAAATTTCCAGAAACTTTCTAAAAATTCCTGGAAGATTCCAAAAAATCCTGGACAGTTTAGTTAGTTAGTTAATTTATTGTTCAGCCTTGGCTGAAAATTGGTCTTAGGTCTCGCTTACATACAACAATGACAGTACAGTTCACATATCAATACAATTCACATAACACATCAAATAAATTAATACATTAATCCCTCCTAAAAACACTGTAATCCTACCCTTTATTCATAAGACTTATTGCGCATGGCGCAAAGGTTTGTTTATATGTTGCTTTAGTTGCCTTCAGTGTCCTATAACGGCATCCAGATGGTAACAAAATTTGGTTGGTTACAAAATTTCTGAAATTTACTGGAAATGTTCCACCTTTTTGCAACCCTAGTTAGGACACGGAGTAACTGAGCGTGCCGTTTCTCCGCAGTAACGTCTACATGCAGGTGATGTCCATATCCAACCTGGTGTGGAAATACCATCGCTATCACTTCATCATGGCGTACCACGACAAGCCGGTGCTTCCGCCGCCGCTGATTCTGCTCAGCCACGCCGCGTCTGTGCTGTCTTCCATCTGCAGGAAGAGGAAGAAGGACAGCAGCGCCTACGGACCAAGTAACGCACCTCTCGCTCGCGCCGCCGCTTCTGCTCGTGTCTGTCAGCGCTCTGACTGTCCTGCTGTTTTTCAGAGCTCTTCCTGACCGAGGAGGACCAGAAGAAGCTGCACGACTTCGAGGAGCAGTGCGTGGAGACGTACTTCCACGAGAAAGATGATCAGTTTCACTCTGGGAGTGAGGAGAGAATCAGACTCACGTCCGACAGGTACGATGATGAACGGCATGCTCGTGCATCAGGATCCACAACACATAAAAAAAGCCTACATTTAATAAAATATTGAGATCTGAGAGTGAGATTTACAGATCATTTACTGAGGAAAACATCTATCACGTGTTTTTCTTTTACTGTCAGACTCTTTTCTCTTTCAGCATCATCAATGAAATGAGTCTCTCTGTGACCTCATTTGTGACCCTGGAGCACAAAACCAGTCATAAGGGTCAATTTTTCAAAATTGAGATGTATGCAATAAATAAGCTTTCCATTGATGTCTGGTTTGTTAGGATAGGACAGTATTTGGCCGAGATACAACTATTAGAAAATCTGGAATCTGAGGGTGCAAAAAAATCTAAATATTGAGAAAATCATCTTTAAAGTTGTTCAAATGAAGTTCTTAGCAATGCATATTACTAATCAAAAATTAAGTTTTGATATATTTACGGTAGGAGATTTACAAAATATCATCATGGAACATGATCTTTACTTAATATCCTAATGATTTTTGGCATTTAAAAAAAATTATAATTTTTTACCATACAATGTATTGTTGGCTATTGCTACAAATATACCCCAGCGACTTAACACTGCTTTTGTGCTGCAGGGACACATGTTGTCATAGTGAAACACTTGCGGCCAATCAGACGCATTCATGGCTGGTAGATTTGCTCAGTTCACTCACCTTTAGCTGGTGCATGTTTTAACGACTTTTACTACATTCTTTTTGTTGACATCTGAGGGATCGCTTGATCCATGAGTGTTTACATGAAATCAAACATTACAGATCCCCAAACAGTAGGTCACGGGTTCGATTCCCAGGAAACGCATGAACTGAAAAACCATACGCTTTAAATGCAGCGCAGGTCGCTTTGGATAAAAGCATCTGCCGAACGCTTTAATGTAAATGTTAAACCGAACCTTCCTTGAGCTCAAACAGTAGATCATGGTGCTAGCAACGCTAAGGTCACAGGTTCGATTCCTAGGGAACGCATGAACTGAAAAACCTTGAATGCAACGTTAGTCTCATTTGGATAAAAGCGTCTCCCAAATGCGTTAATGTAAATGTTAAACCGAACCTTATAAAGCGGATAGTTCCGGTGCTTGATTCTGATTGGCTGAGCCGCGTTCGAAGCTGTTGTAAATGACTCTACAAAGTAACATACACCTTTGTTTACGTTTGTGTGTTGCTCGGCAACCACTTTGTAGCAACCACAACTTTTATTTTGTGAAACCTTACTACGTATATGGAATAACCGTTTTATAAAAGCAATAAGCCCTGTGAAGCCGTGGTGCATTAATCATTAATCTGCTAAATGCATTAATGTGAATGTGTAGCTGAAACGGTATGCATTGTGAAAAGCGCTATATAAATAAATGAGAATTGATTGTGTTTATCTGTGCTTGTTTTTTAGGGTGGAAACGATGTGTGTGCAGCTGAAGGAGGTCGGAAACAAGGTGAACTTCATCAAGCGCTCTCTGCACACGCTGGATTCTCAAATCGGACACCTGCAGGATCTCTCGGCGCTCACGGTGGACACGCTAAAGGCGCTGACGGCGCAGCGAGCGTCCGAGGCTAGCAAAGTGCACAACCAGATCTCGCGTGAGCTCAGCATCTCCAAGAACCTGGGGCCCGACGTGACGGGGCACTCGAGTGCTCTGGTGCGGTGCAGCGTGGGATTCCTGCCTCCCACCGCCAGCATAGCAGAGTCTCTGTTCGGGGGCGGAGCTGAGGAGCGGCAGGGGGCGGAGCTTCCTCCGAGCCCCGAGACACGCCCTCTGTTCACGGCCGAGGCTGGATCCTCCGGCTGCACCTTACCTCAGTCGCTCAGACACTCACCGCAGCTGCGGCGCCGCGGACGCTCCGTGCTCCAGGACACGGGTCCTAGCAGCCACGCCACGTTCTTCGTCAGCACACCGTCGCAGCTCACCGTCTCGCAGACGCACACGGAGCCGGCGCATGTTGCAGTGGAGTTCGGGGCCTTCGTGGGTGAGTATGAGGAGGATGTTTATGGGACGAGTGATGGAGGCCCCCCAGGGGCGGTCGTGTGTGAGGGATACGTCAATCACGCCTTCACTGATGATGAAGACGATAGACCCGCCCCCGACCCGCCCGACAGAAACATGCCCCTCCCGGGCCTCCCTCTGGCCCCTGAGCACCAGCCCCGGGGCCCCCGGCGCATCCGGAGAGACGGTCGCTTCAGACGTGCGCTGAACAGACTCTCACAGAGAAGCGGAGGTTTGGCTGGGAATCAGGGAACCCCACCCTAACCGTGACCTTTGACCCTCACCCCGTCTGCATGCCCCTGTGTGTGTTAGAGCGGGTGAGACGGGTGACCTCTGGCGGTGGTTTAATCTCAGCCGCTCTCTTCTTACTAAATGAACAAAGTGCTGTCGTGTCTTTTGTGTGTGTGTGTGTGTGTGTGATCGCAGTCAACTAAACTAACCCGGGCTGGTGCTGGTTAGGGTTTTGGTTAGTGACGTGTTATTAAAGCTGATCGGAGGGGAAACATTTAACACGGTGGCTGTAATGAACTGATGAATGTGCCTAAACGAGCGTGGTTCGGTCTTTGAACTCATTTTCCCGTTTCAGGTCACAAGGATGATCCTGAGGGTCAGAGGTCGTTTCCTAAAGAGGGTGCTGTCAGCAGCCGCCAGTCGAGTCCCTCCAGAAAGACTCGGGATGTGGTGAGTATAGTATGTTAAAGATGTGGTGATTGTGTCCAGTGCGGCTCGATCCGGATGTGTTTTGTGTGTCTGCAGGCGGCTGTGGCGCAGGGTCACATGCGGACGGTGAACTCGTACGCCGGTTTCACAGAGTTCGACAGAAACCCTTCGTTCCTGCATCCAGAGTCCAGTGAGTGTAAACGGCAGAGTTGCACAACACAAGACGCTTTAAACATGAACCCTGATTCAGCCTGAGCACAATTACACACACCTTTCTCTTGATTTAGTGTTAAAGCACGCGTGTCTGCCTCTTTTATCTCTGTGTGTGTGTGTGTGTGTGTGTGTGTGTTTCAGCACTCGGTAAGCAGGAGAGGACGCGCGTGTCATTGGAGGATGTCTCGTGTCATGAGGATCTGCTGCTGGTCAGTCAAACACACAACAGCACACAAGCAGAGTGTTTACGAGAAACGACATTCACACACGCGCCGTAACTCTGTCTGTCTTTCGTTCTCAGGGGAAATCAGCTCAGTCCAGCAAACTGTGAGTAACTGTGTGTGTGTGTGAGTCTGAGTGTGAGTGTGAGTGTGTGTGTGTGTGTGTGAGTGAGTGTGTGTGTGTGTGTGTGTGTGTGTGAGTGTGGAATGTTTTGACCACAAATAAAGTGATTGTGTTTTCATGATTGAACGTTGCTGTAACTTGTGGTCATGGGTTCGATTCCCAGGGAATGCATGAACTGATGAAATACCTTAAGTGTTTGCTTTGGATGAAAGCATCTTCCTAATGCATCAATGTATATCTAGTGTTTTGAACCGGTTTCTGTGAGGGTTAATTTGGGGTTAGGAGACAGAAAAGGAAATATCGTTAACCTGATAAACAAAATACTGCCGGTGTGTGAGATGAGCTCACTGATGTAGTCAAACAAACGTGTGTGTGATTTAAGTGTAAGTGATTATCTTGTTTGTTTCTCTGCTGTTCAGGAGTCCAGGAGACGATAACTCAAACAGTAAATGTTTTATCACATCTAATAATCATCTGATCCACAAACATCATGACTGCTGAACTGACCCTGCTCTAGTCTGACCGCTGTGTGTGTGTGTGTGTGTGTTTCAGCTGCAGCGGGGCTGTACGGTGCTCGACACACACACCTGGCTGCACGCAAGGACTGTAAGTCTGGCCTCTGCTGGTCTCTCTCAGTACTACACTGACAGCATCAGGAAGACGGTAATACCGTGGTATTTTGTGTGTTGTTCTGCTGATTCTTTGCTCTGTGTGTCTGTGGAGCAGCGATCGTTTCTCCGTTCAAGCCCATGGAGAGTTATCAGTATTCAGGTCAGTGTTTCTGTCACTCCGTCCAACTAAAGCATAAACGTGTCCTGATTTAAACCCGACCCACGACGCCTCGCTCAAACACACTGTCCTGAGAGCGTCTGAATGTGTCATATAGCGGGCCGAGGCGCGGTGGTGTGGGTTTGAAGCAGGCGTGTGACGTGTACTGACATCAGCCCTGTGTGTGTGTGTGTGTGTGTGTGTGTGTGTGTCAGCGGTGGAGCGTAATAACCTGATGCGGTTGTCTCAGAGTATTCCATTCACCCCAGTGCCCCCTAGAGGTAAGACACAGCGCTGCCCTCCTGTCTCTCTCTGTCCCATCAGGCTTTGCTGTTTATCATGTAGTTCTGGGTGGCGTGACCGTAGAATGTGTTTCACAGTAAATATATGCGATTTATTTTTACATGTGAGAGGAGAAACATGGAGTGATGTGAAAATACATTACAGGCAAATGTCTAAACATCCTTAAATCAAGACATTTACTGGAGAAGAATACTGAGGAAGAGATTAATTTATTGCTGTTCATGCAACATTTAATGCACATTTTAATACTTTCTGCTCTGATTTAAGAGCTTTTGAGGCCTTAATTTGTGAAAAGCGAATGAACTTCATGACCCTCAGAAACTTCATCAAATGAGACAAATCCAAATTCAGCCGTAAAGCAGCTCTAAAAAGACAACAGTGTCAGTATTCAGCTCAGCTCAGTGTTGTAATATCTGCTTTGAGTCTTTAGTTTTGAACTATGAATCTATTTTTACACTGATTTGATATGAATCAGCTGATCTTTTGCTTTGCGTGCATCAAATTCCAAATAAACAGAGAACATCATTAAATCAGATGAAGCACCTTTTGTTTGTAAAAGACAGAATTCAGTCAGAACTTTAGCGTGACGCAGAAATGTTTGGTGTAAGGTGTAGTTCGCGCCGCCCAGCCCTACGCTGTATTTGTTTGGTGATATTGTATGTTTGCGAGGTCAGTCGCGTGTTTATGCGTGCCGTTCTCATGTTTGCGTGTCGTACAGGTGAGCCGGTGACCGTGTACCGTCTGGAGGAGAGCTCTCCCAACAGCATCAACAACAGCATGTCGTCGTGGGCTCAGCGCGGTCTCTGTGCTAAGATCGAGTTCCTCAGTAAAGAGGAGATGGGTGGAGGCCTGCGGCGGGCGCTGAAGGTGCTCTGCACCTGGTCCGAGTACGACATGCTGAAGCCTGGACACCTGTACATCGTCAAGTCCTTCCTACCTGAGGTGGTCAACACCTGGCAGAGCATTTACAGAGAGGACACAGTCCTGCACCTCTGTCTCAGGGTACGAACACACACCGGATGCTCTCCAGCTGTTCCTCATTACTCACCCAAACACAGAGTCACAAGAGTTTATAATAACAGCTCCAGTGCTGTGAAACAGTGACGGATCTTTTCTTCCATATTGACACTTTTGAGTAACAGATGAGGGCAGGGCTTGATTCTGCCGGTTGTTGATTGGATATTGAGATGTGGGTGTGGCTCTCAAAAATTGTGAGCTGCAGGGGCGGAGCTTAAGAGCACTAACTGACTGGAGAAGATCCGGTTTTGACATTTTGATTAAAAATTACGAGATCAAAATTTTTAAAGGGCTCATGAAATGCATTTTTTAAATGATTTTATAATGTTTCCATATAATCTAGTCAGATTTTTTGTTTTTGTTTTTCATCAAAAATGGTCATAGTTCAGATGTAAATGGTCATTTTTTAAATTCTGAACTTAGCGTCTGATCGTTGGAAGGGGCGTGTCTGTCAGGGGAAACATCTTTGCATATGAAATGAGCATTACATGTGCAACTCTCTCAAAAACTTTTACTGCATTTTTACTGTAACAGCTGCCAAGATGTGTTGATTATAGCGTTATATTTAGAACTACTCTAAATTATGAGTTTTTAAATTTGCAGTATGTTTTTTATTGTGGAGTAACCTCTGATATGAATTTACATTGCATGCTGAAATGCTTTAAAATGACTGAACTCACGTCTTAAACTCCTGCTTTAGTGCAGTGGTTGATTGACAGGTGAGTAGGCGGTCCTTCTGGCTGATGTCTGTGTGCGACTGAACGTGTGTTTGTGTTTGTGTTGTGATCAGGAAATACAGCAGCAGAGAGCAGCTCAGAAACTCACGTTTGCCTTCAATCAGATCAGACCCAAAACCATCCCATACTCACCCAGGTACTGACACACACACACACACGCACACACACTCTCACACACACAGACCTCACTCAGATCTCTTCATCTGCACTCCAGCAGTCAGTGCTTTAGCTTCTGGGGTAGTTCACCCAAAAATTAATGTCAGTCCCTATCCACTGCATACACGAGCGCAAGCAGGACATTTCTCAAAATTTCTCTTTTTGTGGTCTGAAAAATAAAGAAGGGCATACGGAATTAGAACAACACCAGGGTGTGTAAATAATGCCTGGACTTTCATTCTTGGGTGAACTATTCATTCTGTAGCAACACTTTACTATTGCAGCTGTGTCTATAAACTTGTGTTTGTTTTCTCTCTCTGTGTCTCTCAATTTTTTTTCAATTCATATTGCTTTATTGGCATGACATACTTAGGTACATATTGCCAAAGCATTGTACATAGCAGAATAAAAACAAACAAAACAGAAATACATGTAAAATACATCCATATATATATTTATATAAACATTGATGGTACTACTAATGCAGATGTGTTCACTCTTTAACTCTTAGTTACAAAGAGGAAGTAGGTCCTTCACCAAGTAATATCCTTAATTTGTGGTTTTCATGGAGCGACTGGAACTCAGGAATGCTCTGCTGTATTTGACTGTACAGTGAGTCTCCTCCGAAGCACAACCTGTAAGTACGATTGATACGTTATGTGTACTTTTTCAACTGAGTGCTCAAAATATCAAGTTTTTGTGCTAATATGTGATGTATAGCTAGTGCAGCTTTAGGTTTCCAGGTAAAGCACGATATTACCGTCTTACTGAAGTAGTTCAGATAATTCGCTGTGAACCCACTATTTCCTAAGAATGTGTCGATTAATGTAGACTGACGTTGTTCTAATTACTTCGTTAAATAATAAAGAATGTAGTATAGCACACAG